ACGGAGAACTACAGCGACCTATAATGATCCGTACGCCAAGCTCACTCACCCAAAGAGTTGGAGTTTGAGAGCCGACCACCACGATATTCGCCGTAAGCGTGCCCAGTCGATATTCCGCACCCGCAAGAACGATGTCCCCGCCGAGAATAGAGAGTTCGAGGGGTGCACACCGGTCTATCGATCGCTGAAGGTGAACCTGCGCGGTAAGGCCGAGCCGGATCGCCCAAGGCTCATAATCAGGAAGTCTATGATAGGTCTTGATGCGAACGAGAGATCCAACAAGCAGTACAGAATTACCATACCATTTACCCACACGAATCCCAGGGATGGGATACAGTTTGTCGGCGTTGACCCCCTGGACAATCGGTTTACACACATGTACACACGAAGCTCGATACATCCTGGAACTGCTTCGTGCATATTTCCTTGTATAGATGACCACGGATCACGTTGCGACTGGAGGATATCAATCAAGTACCCCCGTACATTGGGCGATGCTTTGCAACAAGCGCTCGCTACACAACAGAACGGTAGTAACCCCGACAAGATGCAGATTGATGGCCAGGAGCGAATTCACAACCTTGCCGAAGAAGATAAACTCCGCGAGATGTCGGTTGTCTGCTCAGGTTTCCTTATGGAAGAGACCGTAGATCCCGACGATGATCACAAAAAGATAATGACCTTCGAGCCTGAAAAGAAGGTGTCTGTACAGAAGCTTGGTTTTGCAGTGGGCCCATTTGAGCATATTGATCTTTCATCTGAGTTCCGAACAGAAGAAGACGAGGTCAAACTGGGTATGAATGCGCTCAAGGTTCACGCATACTGCCTACCACATCGTGCCGACTGGGTAAGGAATACAGCAGCAGCAATCACTATGGCAGCTGATTTCTTCACGTTCACGTTTGCTCGATATCCGTTCGGCAATTTCAAGCTCTGCTTCCTTGATGATATGATTCAGGACACTGTGTCTCTCTATTCCATGGCTTTCATCAGCAACCGATTGCTTTTCCCAGATGACATTATCGACACCGAGATCGATGTCACAAGAAAGATCGTTCAAACATTGGCGTACCAGTGGATAGGGATCAACATGATACCCAACACAAGAAATGACTTGTGGCTTATCGTTGGCATCGCGCATTTCATGACGGATCTTTTCATGAAGAAAATTTGCGGCAACAACGAGTACAGATTCCGGATGAAGACACTATCCGACAAGCTTGTTCAGATGGACGTCGAACGGCCTTCTCTTTACGATCTCGGCCCTTACCTGCATTTGGGAGAGTTCGAGGTGGACTTTATGACTCTGAAAGCTCCCGTGGTTTTCTTCATCCTGGACAAGCGACTCATTAAGGCTTCAGGAGGACACGGATTGACACGCATTCTCTCTAAAATGTTAACAAAGGTTCAGATTGAATCTTCGGACAGGGCTACTATCCTTGAAACAGAGAAATTCCGAACAACTTGTGAGAAGGGGGCCAAGTATCGGCTTGAGAGCTTCTGGAGCCAGTGGGTCTATGGTTCAGGATGCCCGCGATTCGATGTCAAGGCGAAATTCAACAAGAAGAGGCTCTGTGTTGAGCTTACGCTGAACCAGATTCAATTCCAGACAGTCAAGAAACCGCCTCTAGACAAGAATGATTTCCTACGCGTTGTCAAGGAGCGTCGCTCCGGTGTCAAGCCAGGCGAAGTACAGCCTCTGTTTACAGGACCGATGACCGTACGAATCCATGAAGCGGATGGAACGCCCTACGAGCATATTCTGGAAATCCGCGAAGATGCCACAAGATCCACCAAGTTCGAGATTCCATACAATACGAAGTATAAGCGGCTTAAGCGCACGCGTCGCATGAAGGAAAAGCAAAATGTTGGTGCCAGTATGGATGCAGAGAACATGGATGATGCGCTCCTCTACTGCTTAGGCGACGTTCTGCAGACCCCAGAAGAACAGGCGCAATGGGAGTTGATTGATTGGGACCCCGAAACTGAACGAAAGATGGACCAAGAGTCGTACGAATGGATACGTGTAGATGCCGACTTCGAATGGTCTTGCGATATGAAGAGGACCCTTGAGCCGTACATGTACGTGTCACAATTGCAACAAGATAGAGATGTCGTTGCTCAGCAGGATGCTATGCTTTACCTGACCCATGGCCCTTTGCACCCCATCGCGTCAGGTTTTCTTACCAGGACGCTTGTGGACCGCCGCTACTTTCATGGTATCCGAACCATGGCTGCTGAAGCTCTGCCACGGCAGGCTAACATCAAGGACCTATCAATGCTTGGCCTTCGGCAACTGATGAAGGCTTTCAGCGAAATGTTCTGCCACAAAGGCACGAACCAGCCAAAGCCGAATGACTTTTCCGACAAGAAGCAATACAACGTTCAGTGCGCTATTATCAAAGCCATCGCTCAGGTGAGAGATGCTCACACCTACAAATGTCCGCTTGACGCTCGCCAATTTATTCTGGACCAACTTCTTTTCAACAACAATGAAGATAACCCATATTCTGACCACTTTTACATCGCTACTCTCGTGGAAGCTCTTGCTACATCTCTCATCCCTTCCAAGCAAGACGATTGGTTTGCGATGCAGAACAAGATTCCTAATGAGGATGAGAAGCAGTTCCTCGAAAGGGCCATAGAGCAGATCGAGAGAGTTTTACGGCGAGATGAATGGACCCATTCATACCAGAATGTTTGGACTATTGCTGGTCTAAGTGCCAAACAACGATTGATGAAGGCGGAAGTGATCCCGAAGAAGTACAGTGATTTCGGGCAATATCTGCTGGACGGAACGAGAGACCTTATTCGAATCAAGGCCTTCGAGGCTCTGATTGACCTAGGGGCTATGTTGGATCCGACAGTGTTCTCATTCTTAACATACTCGCTTATCACCGACCGGTCACCGTACGTGCGGAACAAACTCATCGAGGCCGCTGCTTCTGGGCTCGCAGCCATTGCTTTCGGAGAGCATGCTAAGGTTGTTAAGAACGACCCTCCGCCAGAAGATGAAGAAGGAGATCTTCTGCTTGTGCAAGATAGTGCTCAGGAGATAGAGGCAAGAAAAGAGATGTTTGCGAGAAAAGAGAACCTGGATGCAGCACTCAAGGCTTTACGAAGAGAGATGGACGAAACCTACGGAGGAGACGAACGGCACTACAGCATCGCGATGCGCAAGGCGTTGGATCACCCGAGTCTCGGTCGTGGCGAGATGGAAAGCATGCTGGATTTGGCGGCAATGATGTTTGAGGAGGCTGGCGATTGGGTTATTACGCTCCCCTTGCCAAAGGCTTGGAAGGTCGAGAGGCCTGTGCAGCAGCTCTCTAACCGCGTAAGTGCTACATTGTTTACAAACAAGTCTGGTCTGATGCTAACTTGAACAGTTGATCATGAAATTCAAAGCTCATTACAGGACGACACCCCGGGAGCCAATCGTACAAGCACCACCTCTTCCACCTCCCGCTCCGGCTGCGCCTATCATTGAGCAGAAACGACCTACGCCTTTGCAGAAACCATCTTCTATCAAAATTAACACCCACAAGACGGCATCCGCCCAACGCCCTAGCGTCCCTCCACCTCAGCGACCCAGTGCCAGTGCCTCTCCAGTTGTTCAAAGTCCAAAGCCCACTCAACCAAAGCAAGAAAGAGATACCATTGTTGCATCACCGGGTCTGTCTCGACAAGCAAGTGCCACGTCTTCATCGGGATCCAAACCATCTTGGCCCCCAGAACCCTCCTCTGCTTCTAGTATCAAGCGCCCTCGACCGGAGAAGGATGAACAGCACACCCCGGCACCAAAACGCGCAAAGGTCGATAAGCCATTTGATTCGGGTATCCCCAAGAAGAAGAAGAGCAGAATTGTCACCTTCAGGGTTGCTCCGAACCGCCTCGCTCCTTTGTTGAAGAAGGAAAAGAAACCAAACGGTAACGGCCGAGTATCTCTCCCTTTAGGGGCGCCAAGAGACGGCCCTGCCCCTTCTCTGAACTCAAGGTCAGATTCAATCACGGCCAAGCCCGCCAGAAAACCTCTTCCCGGAGACGCGGCGCGAAGGCCTTTGCCTGGAGGCCCGGCGTCATCGCCGCATCCTGCACCAGAGAGGAAGATTTCGCTAAATAGTCATTCGAACTCTAACTCTACACCAAAGCCTAAGTCTGCAAGTCCTGCCACGAACACACCCCCTCCCGCAGCAGCGCCTACTCAGCGACCCAAGATCAAGATTATTCGAAAGCCACAACCACCACCAGCCCCCTAATAATTGAAGCCGAAGGGGACATCGCCTCGCTGGCTGATGCTAAAGCAGCACACCGATTGCAAAAAGTTCGACTCAGTCATAGAACAGTTGGCAGTGAGCCTACTGGCTAATAATAAGTTGCCACCAAACTTGCTACCATTCTAGCCTCTTACTCGTTGATCTGGGAGGCAAGTGAGTGTGACTGGTGACGAATAACCATTAAACAACGTCAATTGTCAATAGGAGCATAAAAATGTGATGTGGATTGAACGCGGGATGCAACATGCGGGGAACGAGGAAAAGACTTTTTACCATTACGTTCGAACAGGAAGTGGCAGGAATTTATGGAAGCTGGTTTGTGGTGTTTCACGCGTTTGGTATAGGGGCAGAGGTTACTGAAAAACTGCATTTTCTGGCGTTGGGAGCGCAACATAGTGTGCAAAAGCGCTGATGAGTGAGAGAAGGATGCAATGAGACGTAATGAGTATATAGGCAGTTTTGGGGACCATTCATCAAGATATCCCGTCAACACTAGTCACCCCCGTGATGTTCTGATTACTTCATGCATGACGAAGATCACCTGTAGGCGAAGAGAGCTTAATGAAGCTTTCCTGGTTTCAAATTCAAATAGGGTATTGTGTAATGGAATATGTTCGTTTCGTCTTAGCCAAGAAGCATGCCGCGCCCCTCCCACTGAAAGTACAAACCTGCCTAACTCTCGTCTTATTCACCCAAATCAAGTCAGTTAAACCAATGGAAGAGATCCTAACCCTCCAGGTGGTTGCCACCTTCTTTTGATTGGGCCTTGAGAAAAGCCTTTCTCAAGTTAAACCTCTGAAAGCCGTGTTTATTGACAAGCCGGTTGTGAGCTCTCTGAGCGCGCTCCTGTTGGAGTTCTTCGCTGTCGTCAGCTGGAGAACGATGAAAGTCCACGCTCGAAGCAAAGTCCAAGTCCGCATCGTCACGGTCTGTCCAGATACCCTCGTGGTGGGAAGGCACATCGCGCCCTTCACTAAGATGCTTCATGACTAGAAGGGCCGTATTTCCAGGTGTAAGGGTTGTGCGTTTCAGGGCCTCCACGACAAATTGGCGAGGGTAACCCATTGATTCATAGTGTGTGATCCATTTCTGGATCTCTCGAGAATTAGACTTCTCTGAACTCCGAGGCTGGTTGGTTCTGGGAGTAACCGCTCGGGAAGAGTTGAAGGAGGCCGGAAGAGACCGTCGAACTGTTCGGGTGCTTGGTTTTGGGTTCGGTTTCGCAGAAGAAACAGCTCGTCTGGGAGCACTTTGTTCTGTAAAGCTGCTGTCATGACGTCGTCTTGTCGGCTCGGCATGTGATTCTCGCTGTCTCTCATGAGAAGGTATTTGCTGGCGACGGTTACTTAGATGCAATGGTATTGGTGTAGTATCCAAGCCCAGATGGTCTGGCAGTGGAGCATCCACAGATTGGTGTCGAGTATCCTGCCTTAATGCTGGCCGTGTGCCAAGGTCTTGTGATTCTTCTTGCATTGGGGGAAGGGGTGGAAGGTGCTGCGAAGCATCGCTTTCACCAATATAGCCTAGCCACTGAGAGGTTCTTTGCGCACCAGGAGATGTTTCTTGGGCACGCTGTAGCTTGGAGGTTTCTTCGGCTTCGGGTGTAGATGGTATTTCCATGCCCTTTCTGTAGCGTCTTTTCTTAAAGCGCTCCGGTGAGGCGAAGGGAGGCTGACCAGCGGTTCGTTTCAAACTTGACGCGGCGACTGGGGGCGAGGATGGTACATGGCTTTGCAGTAAACCGCTGTCTTGACCGTCCTCGAAGTCAATGTCTTGATTGGGGTCCATATCAGGAGCTGCACCTTGTGACTCAGGGTCTGCTCCCTCGCTGTTTACTTCGAAGCTCTCCATTGTATCGAGGAAGTCCATGAGGTTCTCTTCATAGCAGAGATGCAACTCATTGACCGTATGCTGATCTGGTTCGACAAAGCCCAGGTTTTCTGCGACCCTGTACCAGTCGGTCAATTGACTGTCTTGTGATGCTGGCGCATCCCGGGCAGCTAGCATAAGATCGAACAACTCGATCTTCTTCCCGTTGATGTTGAGACTTCTCTTAATGTCTCTCTCCGTGGCTTTGATATACTCATCAAGATCTTGATACCAGTTGTTTCTCAGAAGAGTAAGAGCTTCTTCTTCTTCTTCTTCTTCTTCTTCTTCTTCTTGGTCATTTTCTATTGATGGTCGAGGTTGGTTAGCTTCTCTCGGGCTTTGTGATGGCACTGTCGTAGGTTGAGGTCGCGGTGCTGTGCGGATGGGGCCGGGGTCTCTTGGGTTGTTCGCTCGTCGTTCAGGGGCCCTTTGAACAGCAGCCTTCTGTGGAACCTTGACAACCGTGTTGTGGTCTACCACAGTCTCTTCTGAGATGCTCTTAACCGGGGCGGCTTCTGCAGGTGCAGAGGCTGCCATCTTCTCCAATTTTTTCCTATCCAGTAACTGCAGCTTTTTGATCCAGTGATCTCGCCAAGACTGTGCAGTATGCCGGGGATTCTACGCATGTAAGCTGAATTTTCATCGCCTGATTTGCTAAAACTTACAATTTTTTCGTACTCATACCATATCTGGTTTCCTTTCTGTTCGTTTGGGTGTTTTAGTGCCCACCTAGCAAGTTTCGCATCGTCCTCAGCAGTAAACTTGGTCCGTGTTGATTTCGAGGGTTGATGGCTGCCCACCGGTCTTGGCTCGTCTGGATGGCGTCCTATGAGGTACTTGTCCTTTATTTGGATATACCCATTCTTAACCGAGTCCTCAATGAACTTCCAGGAATAGGATCCAGCGGGGCAATCTTTTCTGATATGGTCCGCAATGAGCATATCAGCTTGTTTTTCCAGCGGAACGATCTTGCCACTATTTTGCTATCTCAAAATCAGCGACAGAGTGTGAAGGGGATTGCAGGATCGACATACCTTGATAAGGTCTATCCATCGGTCTCTCATCGGTATTCGTCGTGCCAGCCAAAACTTCCAATCCTTGAATATGGTACCACCCTCCGCACCTCCGACTCCATCGTATGTGACTGTCGGCGGCATTGTGATGAGCAGGCTTTTTCCGGGCTATGAAGGGATGAGGCGCTGGTCACTGAAAATCGCGTCAGAGGCTGGGCTAGAGGTGTGCCAACGATATCAAGATTGGCAGAGTGAATCAGCTCAGGTTTCTGAAAAAGCCGATAATTTCATCGCATAATTAGACGCGCCCTGAACTCAGTCAGACTTTTGTTACCGCCCGCGGTTTTGGTGTTCTCTCAGTGTGAGTCGCCCTGATGAAAGCCACGCGTTGAAGGGCATCGCGCGTTCACGTGCTAGTAGATGTATTCAATTAAGCGCGTTTAAGGTTTGCCTAAGTGCATAACGTTGAAGCCACTGTAATGTGGTTAGATTTGCTGTTAAACTATGTAGAGTTGTTGAAATAGCAATGCAGCTCCTGCATTACAATTACCTTATCTTGCATATAATTGATCTGATCTATTCTTGGCTGGTTTGTTCGACAGACTTCTATCAGTAGTGATCATTTCATCCTACCTAAACCAGAAAGAGAACGACGTCACCTCTTATCGATAAAAGCTTCCCGGGTTATCCCCGGTTATCGGTAGCTTTGACCTTGGTTGCCATGGTAGCAACGATGGAGTGTTTACTTCCAATCAGAACCGAGGCCGTGGGACGAGTGGCCGGGGTTATTTGGGTCTAAGCTACAAGTTGCACGAACAACGCAAAATAGATCCATTCACTTAGCTACTTCAAGCTGGACCTTGCTTTCTTCCTTCTTCCTCCTCTTCCTCTCTCTCCTCCTCATCCATCTCTTAACATCAAGCTTACTACTACTAACCAAAGCAGGTTGTGTTTGTTCGTTCTTGTTCGTGTCTTTGTTTCTACGTCCTTCATCGCACTTTCACGGCCTAGCGAGAATTTACTTGTTTGCATGGGTTGAGTTTGCTTGTTGACCGTGAATAACTTCATCATGTCTTCCGAGGACAAGTACGAAACGCTGGAGAAGATTGGTGAGTCTATCGAGTTAACAGTGCTCGATGCGCCACACTATCAATTGAGCGACAACTCTAACTCACCGTCTTCTTCTAGGCCATGGCTCCTTTGGCATTATCCGCAAGGTCCGTCGCAGGACAGACGGCTTCATCATGTGCCGCAAAGAAATCTCATATCTACGCATGTCCCAGAAGGAGCGCGAACAACTTCACGCCGAATTCCAGATTCTATCGCATCTGCGCCACCCAAACATTGTCGCCTATTATCACCGTGAACACCTCAAAGTTAGCCAGGACTTGCATCTTTACATGGAATACTGCGGAAATGGCGATCTCGGCCGCGTTATCAAGGACCTCGCACTAAAGGGCCAGCGAGCTCAGGAAAGCTTCGTCTGGAGCATCTTCAGTCAGCTCGTCATGGCGCTTTACCGATGTCACTATGGTGTTGACCCTCCAGAGGTTGGCTCCAACGTGCTTGGGCTAGCACAGGGGAACGCTGCTGGCGGACCCAAGGTTCCCGCTGGAACAATGACTATTCTACACCGGGATTTGAAACCTGAGAATGGTGAGACCTCGATAGTGGATCCCCTTGTTTACGATATTCGATACTAACAATGTTTTAGTCTTCCTTGGCGAGGACAACTCTGTCAAGCTTGGAGACTTTGGTCTCTCCAAGATGATCAAGTCCCACGACTTCGCTTCTACCTATGTGGGCACTCCCTTCTACATGTCTCCCGAGATCTGTGCCGCGGAGAAGTACACATTAAAGTCCGATATCTGGTCGTTGGGTTGCATCATCTACGAGCTCTGCGCACGCGAGCCACCGTTCAACGCAAAGACTCACTTCCAACTTGTGCAGAAGATCAAAGAGGGCAAGTTCCCTGCCTTGCCCGACGTTTACTCTCCCGAGCTTTACCAGGTTATCAAGGACTGCCTCCGTGTGAACCCTGATCGAAGACCCGATACTTCGGAACTCCTGAACTTGCCAGTGGTCAAGCTTATGAGAAAGGAGAAGGAGGTTGTCGACCTCAACAAATCTCTCCGCCTCAGAGAGGATACTCTCCGTAAGAAGGAAAGGGATCTCAATGAGAGACTTGCCAACATGGAGAGAGAAAAGGATGTTATCCGAGAGGAGCTGGACTCATCGTTACGGAGAGAGTGGGAGGTTAAAGCACGTCTCGAGATTGACCGTCTTGCCAACGCAGAGATTGAGCAGCTCCAAAACCGCTTCGAAGCCGAGGTTCAGGCACGTGTCGAGGCTGAGCTACAAAAGAAAACAGTGCCATTTTCCGGCTCGAGACCTGAGAGTCGGGAGGATGAGTATGCCTCATCAATGGGCAAGTCGGATTATAAGTCCGACTACCCTCACTCTTCCATTGGTGGTAGCGAGGTCGAGTTCCCCTCCACAACAGATCTCACTGAGTACTCCATCGATAGCCCCGAGGCGCCTCGAGAGACTAAGAAGACAGCTCGCACGCCTTTCAGCCGTGCGCAGACCATGTTTGTCGGTAATCCCGCAGGTACACCAATGGATGTCGAGATGAACTCACCAAGCCCTATCGCTATTGCGTCGCTATCTCTTTCACCTCGTCGTAATGGCAACACCAAGGCTCCTACCACTGCTAATGCAAATATCTTCACCGCTAACGCCAATCGAAACTCCGCCGATTCTCGATGGGATCATCCTCGTGATACCTTGTCCGATTCTGAAGATGAAGACGTTGTCCCATCGCCAACACGAAACATCAAGTCTTCGAAGAATCCCTTCACCTCCAAGACACGACCTGTCCTCACTTCTCAGAAGTCGTGCCCCATGAACCGCCTTAAGACGCAGCCATCAACATCGGGCTTTGTGTCTAAGCAGATGCCTCCACCTGAGGCTCCGAGGTCGCCCACTCGCCGTCTGAGCAAGATTCCCTCAGCGGCAAACCTCCAGTCCGAAGCCAACAGCCAGGGCTTGACGCGCGCCTCATCACTCAACAACAAGAAAAACAGCAGCAGCACCGATGACGTCCTGGGCAAGGTTGCAGCTAAGAATAACATTCGAGGCCGAACCCTCGTCGAGCTTCAGCAGGCTCGCGCAGGCGGTCGTCCCATGAGCGCCATTGTGATGCCCAGCACAGGGGAGAATGTCAGCCCCAAGAGGGCATTCCGGGACCGCATCGGTATTGAGCGCAAGTCAAGTGGTGACGAGCCCGTCGCTGTCTGGGACCCGGAACGAGACGAGATGCCTAGTCCTTTCCTGGTCCGACAGCGACGGATCGCCCGGGTGTAGGCCGCCTCCGTGCTAGTCGCATGAAAAGAAGTAAAGATGAAGAAAGTTGGTGTGGTTGTGGTTTGTTTTTTTATGCATTAGAGGCGAGCATCATGATATTGCTTTCGAGGGTCTACGTTACCCTCACATACCTCTTTGTCTCTCGTTTTGATTCCCCCTTTCATTTGTCTTACCGCAAGCTGAGAGGGAAACGAGAGGCTTTCCCGATGGATAATCCCCCCTCACACGTGAGGGTTTGGAAATGATACATGGAAACACTTATGGGCGTTTTTGGCGCGAGCACAAGGATCATGGCATGCATGGAATGGAATGGGTTATTACATTTTAGATGCTCTGTTGGTGTGCTTGTTACTTAATGGACAAGGATTTTAGCATTTGTTATAATGAGTTGATTGATGAAAGGGGGCGTTGAACGTCTAAACTACCTGCGAGGAATGGTGGGATTGGATCGGGCTGTTCTTGCGTAAGTTTATTCTTAGACGTTGTAAAAAGATAATGACACACTCATCTACATACTCGACCTCTCCTAGCCTCTCTCTCAATCGGGTGAATAGCATTGTTCGGCCCCCAAATGTCTAAGGGCTTCTCATAGGAACGCATCTGCACTTTAGAACTCGGTGAGCATCCAATAAAATGAGGAGCCGTTAAAGTGCAGCATTTTGCAGATAGCCCTTGTCTATTCAAGACATACAACGTCATTGGGCAATCCATATCATCATGAGAATGGATGTGTACCCAACTTACACCAACTCTTCTCCTTCATGAACCCAACTTCTCGCCTCAATTTCCAAAGCCAATGAATCAAACTGTTGATATATGCTTTCAATCCAGGTCATAAATCATTTTTTTAGTCCAGCCTTAATCTTCACACACGTCAGCAACTATACTACAACCCTTTAGTGTTGGGCATCACTGCGTCTCCCCCATAAACGATGCTTCAACTCGCCTTGCATATGCATCCCCAGAGCTGCACCCCAGAGCCAGTCGTGCAGGTGAGGCGTTCGACGATGTAAAAGCACGACTCGAAGTGGTCCATTAAAAAGCAGTATGCGGTGAGAGCTCTCGTGATGAGTACCGTCATTGGCAGGGACATCCATGCCTTTCGACGTTAGCATCACATCATGAGAAAACAATCTGCCAAAGATTCCAAGAAACAAAGGTACATGTCGTAGTAAAGATTTGTTATGACAATACAATAATCAACAAGGGGTATTTTTCTCCAAGCACAAGCTTCAACACCAAATTTGTCTGAGTAAGGTAAGGAGCCCAAGCATTCAACACAAAAAGAAGCCAAATGCCCAGACACGAACATATATCCAACAACAGGCGCTATTCAACGCCAGATAGCACCAAAACTGAACCCAAGTGAAGCAGATAGATAATAATAGCAACAAAAACATTAAAAATAGGCCAGGCCGCGAGGCCAATTCCATCTTGCGTAGACGTAGCGTAGCGTATTGTAGCCGTGAGGCCCATCAATCTTCCAAAATTCCCACCTCCCAGGTTCCCTTCCTGACCTTTGATTAGACCGAGCCTGAGAGCAGAATGCATTTCGCGATGCAACGAGCACGGCGGTCCTGTGTAACCCGCGCAGGACTTTGTCTCTTTTTCGAACCCTCCCCTGTTTTCTTTTTCGAATCTTTTCTTCTTTTTAGACTTTTGTTTTACTGTAACAAGATTTGTAAGTGAGTGATCTCCGACCACGTAGATGGCTTGTTTAGTGTCGTGAACGGTGAGAACTGCTGTGACGATGAGAGTGGCCATGGCTGCGATGAGAG